CATTTGTATGTCCATTCAATTTCTATTAACAAATCCATTAATTATTTTGATTTCTTTTCCATATTATAATCAATTAATCCTCACTTCCAGATATAAATTGATCTGATTTCTTCATGAAATTCAAAGTAGACACATTTTTACTATGTTCATTTAATATTTGAAATTATTCCAATTTTGATTATTTAAAATCAAATACTTTAATTTAATTATCACATCCAGAAATCAAGATTGAACAATCTTTATTAACAGCAATTGCTCTACAATATTGATCTTATTTAATTGAATTTTGTTTAATTAATTAATAATTGAATGGTTTAAGATTAGATTGAGTAATTTCTTAGATTTTGAATTCTTATTATTACTTTTAAAGTTTATTTTATATGTTATTCTTAATTAAATAAGTCAATTCTTAATAGATTTACTTTGGGAAATTGTCATCTTATATTTTAAATGATGAATTGAATTTAGGTAAATCTTATTATCTTTAAGATAGTTTAATATTTGATTAAATAAACTAATCATTAAAAAGTTCATCAAGTTTTGCATCAATATTATTGAATGAGTTCTATTTATTTTTATTAAATAATATCTTTACTTCAACTTTTTATTATAAACTTTATATACATTCTTCTACTTTTCTTTAATATTCTTTATTAATATTATCTATTTATCTCTACATCTTTAATATTTCTTATAATAATTAATTATTTTTAATATTAATCCATATTCATTTCAAAAACTCACCTATTTCTATTAACTTAATTAATATATTCTTAAATATTAAGTATTTTTATAATCAATAATTTTTTAATATTTTTCTTATTCTTCATTAATAAATGGTAATATTTATTCGCAGAGATTTTAATATGTATTTTAATAATTGGGTCTTTAAATTTATGGACTTTCTTTGCAATAACTGAATAAATATTAAATAATTTTTGAATAATCAGAAACAACAAATTAGTTTGTTTATTATATTAAGATTTATATAAACTAGTTTTAACTTATCAATCTTCAATTTTTCATCACTTTGATTCACTATTTTTAGAATATCAAAATAGTCTTACTTTCTATAATTTTTAAAACCAATAATATATGAGTAACGTTACTTTTATTTGAGAAAAATATAATAATAAAATCTTATTATTTATTATTACTAATGTATTTTATACTTTCTTATAACAGTTACTTATAATTTTAATTTATTAATAGTTTTTGAAGAAGAAGTGTAGTTAAGAAAGGATAAACTCATTTTATAATCAAATAAGGTTAATTTTAAAAAGCTCAAGACTTTTGAAGGTCTTTATTTGAATTAAAAAATAAATTCTTTTTTAGTTAATAATAGAAAATAGTTTTAGGAAAATTAATAATTAGCTAGTTGATTTTTTTATTTCGACTTAATTTCTATTGTAATATAATAATTATTAATTCTAATGATTAAGTGTAAAAACAATTCTTTTTTTTCATATCTGCAGTTAAGCTAATTAATTCAATTATTAATTAGTCCAAATCAATCATTCTATATATTATTAGAGAATAAAAATTAAACAAATAATAAAAATCATTTGATTAAACTGATATTTTTTCTTAAAAGTATGAATTTAATTTGAATGCACACTTATTAATACAATTCTAGTACTAACTTAAAAATTTATTAAATTATTTATTTTGAATATAATATCTTTGAAACCAAAAATATTAATTCCATCTTTTATTTCATTTTAAGTAATTCAATAGTTTAAGCATGTGTAGTAAGTTAAAATAATTACAATTCTTTTATTTACTTTCCATCTTTAATTATTGAAACATGCCAATAATCTATAATTAGTGACAATAAAATTGTTTAAATAAATTAAGTCAAAGACAGAATTCCCATTAGCGTGCTTCATCATTCCTAAATTAATTGAGATTAGAAGATTAAAATAATAGACGAGTTGTTTGAAAGAATTGATCTATGCTTAATAAGAAGGGTTACAAGAAATAATCAGAAATGAAATCCATAAGAGGGAGCCAAAATAGCTTATCCATGCGATAGGGCGTCTTTCCTGACTGGATGTCATTGTATGTAAGAGTGGTTCAACAATACAAACTCACAGTTAAGTATTGGAATCCTGAGGAGCCCTGAAAGAGTGGGTATGCTCGATGCTTAGACTCAGAAGGCGGGGAGGAATTTACATCCATTTAAAAATGAACTGATGCACATTAAAAAAAATCGAAATGATTGTGATTCATTACATTGGTTAATGAAACTTATAATTATTATAAAATGAAATTAAAAGATTCTAATAGTTTTTTATTTAAAGTGAATTGTTTAAAAAGCTTAAGATGAAGATAGTTAAAAAATTTTTAAATCTAATTTTCATATTTCAAAATCATAATAAGAAACTCTAAATTCTTTTGCAAAATAAATATACTTGGAATAATAACATCTAAATAGGATTTTTTTTTATATCATAATATTCATAAAAATAATTATATAGATTAAAATTTGTGACTGCGAGTTCGTATTCTTTAACCCCTCCTCCGCCAACTGTTATTGATGCCCTGTCCTGGAAAGATGCCACCTATATTTGTTTGAAGCATATGGATGCTATTCCGGTTCCTTCTGCTGCGAACTTTCAGCCTTAATGACCTTTTCATAACCATTTAAGATCTGAAGGAACAATTCTCAGATAAGTTACGGGTTGTCATTACTTATATTTTATTTTATTAAGTAAATTGAGTGAATAATTTTAAACTGACAATTACCTTATCTATATATTATTATTATTATTATTTGAAACCCTCTTAAATTAGTTTATTCAAGAATCTTAATAAATTATATTAAATTAAATTGTAAAGAGATATTAATTAATTGATAATATTTTATTATTCTGTTAAAGAAGCCTTTAACACTGGGATTTGATACTCACTCCTAGCTTAAGTAAACTGGAGATAAAAATTAACTAAGTCATTTGGTTGTATATGCTGAAGAAAATATATATCTGAATATATTGAACATAGGAAGATCTATTTAAAAGGGTTAACAATTCTAATGAGACTTAATAGCAAATAAGCTGAATCAGTCCCTAACTAATTATAACCCTAATAAAATTACTATAGAATATAGACTTTTATGATCAGATTTTGTCTGGAAACCTAAATTTGATGAACACTCTTTAGAATATTTTAAATGTTAATTAATTAAAAAAGAAATGTTAATAGAAGTAGTATCACTAATATCTCAAATACCTTAATGAATTATGAATATTCTTTTTTACACGTCATCAGTAATTTATTTAATTAGAAGCTTATAACTGTAATATTAACCAAGTGTAAACAAGTCCATGGTAGTTTATGATATAAGATAATCTAGAATAAAAAATATTCCACTACATAGTTTGCATTTACTGGATAATCTCCACTCAACCTTTTTCTATGACTTATAGAGCACATGGCTTCTTTAGAGGTGAACTCTCAGTTCTAAATGAATATAATGTAATACATTATTTAAGTGAATATAAAACCTTTGTTCCTAGAGTTGTTAGACTTAAAGAATTAAGACTTAGCTTTAAGTTTAGGTAGGCTAAAAATTAAGATTTAAATGAATATTTATCATTTCAAATTCAATTTAATCAATTTAAATTAATGTTTAAATAAAAGATTCTAATTTTTTGTTTGAAACAATGTATTTTTAACTTTAGGGATGAGAAATTAAAATATAAATGATTAAAATAAAAAATTTTAACTTATATTCCTCCAAAATTAGAGTTTTGACGAATGATATATGAAAAGGCATATTTGATCAGCTTCTTTTTCAATTCATTTTAATTCTTAATGAATTATATCCTATTCATTTAATAGAATATTCATTTCTTGAATAGTCTTATATTATTATAAGTTATTAAAAAGGACAAGCATATAATAATTGATATAAATTTTTATATTTGTTAGTTATCCATGATTAATATTGTCATGTAATAAAATTTATGTAA